TGGTCTCCTGGAGGAATAAGAAGCAGAGTGTTGTTTCTCGTTCTAGTGCAGAAGCTGAATACAGGTCCATGGCTAATGGTGTGGCTGAAATCCTATGATTGAAATCACTATTTGAGGAGTTGGGTATTGCTTATGAGAAGCCCTTAATGTTGTATTGTGATAATCAGGCTGCTATTAATATATCATAATCCGGTACAGCATGACAAAACTAAGCATTTTGAAGTAGACCGACATTTTGTCAGAGAAAGGGTTTCATCTCAAGAAGTGTCTTCCGTATATCACCTCCAACATGCAACTTGCAGATCTTCTCACCAAGGCAGTTCCAAGGAAGAAGTTAGAGGCAGATCTATGCAAGTTGGGAATGACAAATATCTATTCCCAACTTGAGGGGGAGTGTAGAGAACACTGATGTGGACCCCACTGATGTGGTCCCCACAGTGTTCGTATGGCAGCAACATTTCTGTTAGATATGACAGTATTAGTTGGTAGTTATTTCAGTTAGTTATTTCAGCTTTATTATTAGTTATTTCTTATTCTATTTTCCATGTAAGCAATAAAGGCAATTCAGCCCTTTTACAGTTATATAAATACTAAGAGTGGGTCGGCAGAAATCATAACCTTCCCTTTCTTTTTCTGAAACACTCTTCGTGTACTTCTCTTCTTCTTCTCTTCAATTTTCATCCCTTTTTTCTTTTAAATTCAAGACTGATTGTAGTCTAGATCGACTACTGTCTGGATAGGATGCCGAGAAGTCACATACAAGCTGGATTGTGTGGGTTACTGATAACTAAAATTTTTAGTTTGCATATGGGCATCCCCATCCCAAATAACCATCATGGTCTCATGGCACACCCAGAGTTGTACTTGTACATCTCATTCCGACTTCGAGGGTTATAATCCTTTAAGGAGAATCAATGTGAGGAAATTTACTGCCCTGGTCTACAGTGACCAACAGCTTAAGAACAGGTTACCTAATCACAACTAATCTTCATAATATATTGCAAGGCAATATCCATGGTTTCCATGCTTGTAAACTGACGCTCAATCTGACAAGTGACATGTCAAAACTCTAAGGTTATCAAGAATGGTATACATACATGTCTTGGTCAACAGTATTATGACTTAAAACGAACAGCCTTGAAAAGAGTTTCCATGTGCAAAAGAGGAAAAAATAATGATTTTAAGCCTTGTTGTAGTTCTACCAAGCAGACTGATATTAAGAATCTGAGAGAGAGAGGGTTTGGTTGAGTTGAGGAAGATGGGTTGAAGAACTGAAGTGAGGATGCCCATAAACTTTATGTTTATGTTTTTGTTTTCTATGGATTAGCTTGCAATGGCCCATGGGTAGGATTGGGGTGCCTTTTTGCAGTGCTAATTTGAATCCTTATGGTCTATCTATAATTTTAACTGTTCACACTGATAAAAAAATAATTTAACTGTTATTAATTTAGCTGTGTCGTTTGGTGTTCTTCAGCTTTCTGTATTGGATTTGATAGTTCTATTGTAATTCTATTTCCTTTTCTTTGGTAGTGTCATTGGCCTTCTCTTCTCTACATGGCAATATGGCACATATTAGGAGTACTTCATTCAAAATAAAATTGAAAAAAAAAGAAGTGAAGTTCATTTCCTACCTCAAGCATATTTTCATCAAGAAAGTAATTTGGTCCTGTACAATTTGTGCCATGTGAACCATCATGTTGAAGGATCCTAAGCTTCCCTTCCTGCACTTGGCAAATAAATTTTGTTAACTAGAGAAAGAAGAGATAACTACATAAAGAGACAACCCACATGCCAATCTCAGTTATTCACCTTAGTTCCATAAACAAGACCTCCTCCAACTAAGGGATGAAAACATGCAACATTAACCTCATCTTCTGCACTAGGAAGAACCCGCACCAGCTCCATATCTGAAACTCTGTAAACCTGGATGGTAAAGCAGGTTGGAAAATGTAAATACTAAGAGAGAATAACCAAACAAAGGTTGATTTTCTAAACCAACAGGGCAATATAAATAAAATTAAGCTTTCCCATATTACAATGACGAGACCAGTGTTTTAGAATGCGTGGGAGGCATATGCCTGGCAGAATGCCTCCAGGCGAGGCACCCCCAAAATGCCCTCTGAGGCACAAGCTAGAGGCGTTGACACCTCTTAGGCATACGCCTCATGTGCATTTTTCATGAGGCATGCTAGAGGCGTACGACTCATGCACCCCATGCACACCTCATAGAAAAAGACAAAAAAAAAAAGAAAAAAGAAAATAAGAAAGGGGAGGGAGAGAAAAAGAATGAAAAGAAAAAAGAGAAAATGAAAGAAAAGAAAAGGAAAGGGACAGGAAGGGCAGGGAAGGAAAGATAAGGGGAAATAAAGTGGGCTGGGGGCAAAGACCCCCTCTTTCAACTAGTGCTATGCATTCTTCATTCTTATTAATATAAAAGGTTTTTTATTAAAAATAAAGAAAATGAGATCCACCTTCCTCTTCTTCCTCCTCCCCTTAATGAGGCTCACACCTCCTTGTGTTCGGAAGGCTTATGCCTCTTACGTTCTGAACTGCACACACGCCTCTAGGTAGTGGAATGCCTCCATGTTTTAAAACATTTTTTTTATCAATAACAGAGTTCAATGTTTTAAAACATTGGATGAGACTAACAGCCAACTCATCATGTTGCTCCTAAATGGATGAAGGGTCCGTGTTGGACATGTTTTGGATTCTGACACTGAAATATTTTCCCTTTCTTTTCCTTATTTGACATAAAATGGACAGCTAAAGTACGTTTACTGTAATTTTCCTATAGAACATCAATAAGCAACAAACATAAACTCCAATACCTTTTATATAGGTATATGATGCTAGAATTAAAAATATATGAAATATTTTAATAGTATATACTTTTATCTAGATGTGTTTCTGAGTCCATGCCAAAATCCTGGATCAGAGCTTGATTTTGATCTTCATGTCCAAGACTCCAAGTCCATGCAACCAAGGCTTATAATCTCAACATATTTCCTAATATTTCAACGACATATTCCCATTTCCATGGGTACCAACATGAAATGTAAGTGGAATGTATCTCCTAGAGATATTGGGCCAGAGACAGATGGGCCATAATTAGCTCAGCTTATGTTCAGTTTTTGTTTACTATTTTTTTGTTAATGGGTCTTTAGTTTCATGGGCCTGTTAACTCTTTTTTCTTCAAGTATTAGAAGCAGCTGCCCATAAAAGGTGTTTATGTAATTACATCAATTTTAACTTAAATAAAAGGATTTTGGGGCTGGAGAGAGTACAATTGACTCATCTCCTTTTCTTTTCCTCTCTTTTCATCTTTTTCTTCCTTGCTCTCATACCCTTTTCTTTGCTGTGTTTTTGGATTAAAAGAAGAATTAATTGCTGGTTACTTTTCTTCTTATCTCAATGCATTCTCTAATTAAATAAAATCATTTATATTGTCCTCAACAAATTTTACTCTGTTAATCATAACATTGTAAGATTTCCGGTTTACATGTACGTGTATATCTAAAGTTCTAAATAATTTTTCAAAATATGATACTGTTCTCTTCAAAACCATTATATTTTTGAGCTTATCATATTAGACGACTTTCCTTCTTATTTCCTTTCATGAATAGGGATGTTTTGTTCTGGGCAGATAAGGGCTTTTAAAACTTGACAAAACTAAAAATGGACATGTGAAATGGTGTCATCATTTTAAAAGCAGATTTTGATAATAAAAGAAAAAAATTCAAGAAAAAAAGATTGGGTACACTGCACAGAAGATGTAAAAATTAAACACATCAATCTGAATGAAAGGAAAAAAAATCCAGGTTGACCATCAAGCTGGGAACATTGCTCAAAGCATGAAAATCAAACAACCAAGAAACAAAACATCCATGGAATGAATGTGATTGATGAAATTAAGATGCTGAGATGGATAAACTGACAATACTAGAAAGGATAGAATTAGAGCAAAATGCATGCTTCAGAACTGAGATGGTTTATTCTCAAGCATGGAGTATCTTCAGCAAGGAGAAATTTGATGCAAGGTGAGGGTTCTGAATGAGGGTACAAGTAGTTAAGAAAAGGGTCTGGTAACTCATAATTTAACAGTGGACAAGGTTGAAAAATCTCAACCAGAATTTTCTTTTACAAGTTCAACCATCAACTAATTAGTAGTACTGTTTCTACTTGTAGTACAAGAATTCTTGGTTTTGTTTAAAGTTAAAACAAATGAATCCACAAAAAGGCATAAACGTCCAGTGCAGACATTTTTCCTCTTTCCTTCATAAAGGTTCCTAGTATTCCAACTATTAGTCTTTATTTCACAATCCTAAAGAGTCAGGATGACAAAGGAGCAACCATATTTTCTTTTCATCTGATAAAGTATAACCATGACCATCTGATGTTGTGTTTCTCTATGGCAACTTCAAACCAGCACACTGTTAATTAGAAGAGGACCTAAAAGTAGCCTTGTTTCTATTTTATATATCCTCACCCGACCTCATGTCTCAGAGGTGCTTATTTATAGCCATCTATGCAGACTAGTCAATTTTTTTTTACAAGTATCAATTCATTCAAGAGAAAAGTACAACCAGAGGCAGTACAAAGGAGATACAAGAATAGCTTCAAACCGCAAAACCATTGGGAGATACAAACAAACTTTCAAAATTAAACAGAGAGCTACAAAAAGAACTGTCAACTTTAAACTTGGTTGATGACCAAGAACATAGCTTCTTCACGATCTTCTGCCACACTTCATCTTCTTGACAGCTTTTGTTTTGAAATATCCTTGAATTTCTTTCTTTCCAGATCACCCATAGCACTGCACCTGGAATCAGATGCCATAAACATTTCCCTTTCTTGCTTAGACCTTGTAAATTCCAGCTGTTGACAAAAGTAGCCAAAGATTTTGGGCAGCATCTTCTGATTACAAAAATTCTGAGAATCCTCACCCAGATCTTGTGAGTGAAACCACAGTGAAGTAACAGGTGATCAACAGACTCCTCATCATTGTTGCACAAGACACCTTTTAGAGTCAATCACCATACCCCTATTAACCAGATTGTCTCCTGTGGGAATCTTATTTAAATAAGCGGTCCATAAGAAAAAAGATACCTTCAATGGGCTGTGTTTGCACCAGATTAGATGCGCAGGGAAAAACATATCTTCTTCCTCCTGGACCAGTTTGGTATAGAAAGATTTCACCGAAAATTGACCTTTGCTCTCTGCTAACCAGACCCTTTTGTCTGCTGCATTGACATCAATTTGGTTTTTGTACAACCTTTGAAGAAGCCTACCTAATGGTTCAATCTCCCAATCATTCAATGCCCATCTGAAAGTAGGCTTCCAGATAATCATCCCATTTTGTTTGATGCAATTGTGAATAGCTCTGGGAAATCATCCATTAACATATTGTTTCCACACCAAACATCCACCCAGAAATTGACTCTATTACCTCTCCACACAACAAACTTGATTTCCTTGCTAAAAGCATTGTAACTTTTTTCAATTCCCTTCCAGACCAAGCAACCATATGACTGATTGGCACCTCCAGGAACCCAACTTTCATTTCTTGAACCATATTTTTCTTCAATTATTCTCTTCCACAAGCAATTTCCTTGTTGACCATACCTCCAAAACCACTTGCCAAGTAAAGCTAAATTTATTTCCCGAATTTCTCCTATTCCCAGCCATCCATTCTTTTTTTGTTTACAAACCTTCTCCCAATTTACTAAATGAATTTTCTTGTTGTCCTTCCACAGGAACTCTCTTAGCTTCCGCTCAATCTTATTTGCAATTCCAGCTGGAACTGGATACAGTGACAGCAAGAAAACAGGAAGGGAAGAAAGAAAACTCGTGATTAGAGTGAGCTTACCTCCCTTTGATAGATACCTTGATTTCCAACCAGCCAGCCTCTTCTCAATCCGCTCCAAAATGGGGTCCCAGATAGACTTGGAATTGCATTTAGCCCCTAAAGGCATTCCCAAATACTTTAAGGGGAGCTTACCTACTGTAAATACCCAAGAGTCAGCTCAAGACTGCATCTCTTGAACCCTCCCCACTGCCACCAGTTCACTTTTGTGAACATTCAAATGCAAGCCCGAGACCACTTCAAACCACCACAGAGTTGCTATAAGGTAATCAACTTGCTCCTTGGAAGAATTACAGAAAAATTGAGTCGTCTGCAAATTGTAATAGAGGAATCTCCAGCCTGTTTTCACCTACACTGAAACCTTCCAAGAAACCCCCATTCACTGCCTTCCAAGTTAATTTCCCTAAATCTTCCATCACAAATAGAAATAGCAAAGGAGATAAGGGGTCTCCCTGCATTAAACCCCCTGAGCTCCTAAAGTGATCACATGCCCTCCCATTTATCTATTGATCTATTCAACCTAGTGAATGCTTTGTAGCCATCAAACGATTCATTGGTTACCCAGTCCTTGACTAGTCGGCACTTTTATACAGAGGCTTTAACAATATCTTATGAGTATACTTCAAATGGGATCCTTGAACAGATAGATGACATGGAAAAACTGTCCACATTATTTTTAAATGAGATTAATTCTTCCAAGAGAGTCTCCTAGAGAACTCAGAAACAACGGTTAAAATGTCAGTGCCAATGGAAACATCAGTCATCCAAATATACAGAACATGCCAATCAAGTCATATGGAAATTTTGTAAAAATTATAGACTTTTTGGTAACATTGTGAAATATCCAAAAATATAGAATGATATTTTATGACATGATAAAAGGAGCATGGGTACACCCTTTAAAACTGTTATCTTGTTCCAAACCATCAAACAAAGCTAAGAAAATAAGGTTAATAAACAAAATAATGATCTGCAAAGCTGCCCTGTAAACTTTAAGAGTCAAAACTACATGACAAAGTCCAAGTAAAGTTTAAACTCATAGAAAGTGAAAATGGTTATAATAAAGGAAACAAAGCACCTTTCTTGCAGGAGGCTTGCATCAAACACCTGCCCCCATGCTGACACAAGTTTTTCTTGTCCACAGATTAGATTGTTAGACAGTGTATGCCCTTAGCTCCAATCAGAATGATGTACCTTATGACATTTAATGTAAATGAATAAAGTACATATTTGATTCATATTATTATGGTGTGTTTCTGTGTAATACCCTTAAACTGGACACATATGAGAC